CACTGTATGACATTCACGTTACATGATTTGACTGATTTTTACGTAGAAAGGGCGGCAGCGCACCGCATTAAAAGAAATGACAAGTTTTCAAATTCAAAAGCGAAACTAAAATTAAATCATCTTTGAGAGCAAGGGGACCCCTGGTGTTTCGGGGGCCCTACGCAGCTTGCGTACTTTGCGTATAGGGTGGATCGGCTCTGACTACATCTGATTGTCACCTTCATTACTACTTCTTTTATGTCTTTTATTTTCATATTTCTTCTCTCTATGGGGTTAGGGATTCAGGACCCCTTCCATCAGGACCACCCCCCCCAACCCCCCATATTGATGAAAATAATCATGATGATGATTTTTTTTCATAATCGAGCAGCCCTAGTGGGCCACACCGTGGAGAAACACCAAATTGCAATCTCCAAATTGGATAAAGCTACCCTTTCAAGCCCCCCACCAATATGAAGATCAATTTGTTAAACGCAAAAATTTCCATTCCATAAATGTCCAGCTAACATGTGACCCAAGCAGCAAAATAACGAATGTTATCGCTGATTGGCATAGAAATTGCATAGAAAAAGACTTATATATTTCCATTAGAATAAAATTCCTTAACCTAAGCATAGGAGCCTGATAAAAATGTTCATTTTAGATGAAAATTTCAGACGGCACTTAGAGGCTTTTGCATCTGAACTATTCATGTGTATATATATATATATATATATATATATATTACTGAGAGAGCATTACTGTATAATGACGGCACTTAGAGGCTTTTGAATCTGAACTATTCATGTGTATATATATATATATATATATATATATATATTACTGAGAGAGCATTACTGTATAATAGTCTAATAACCTAGATCAAATCCGAGAGCTCTCAGACCCTCCATAGATAGCAAGGGTACTACCACGATCAGAAACGTAGCAAGGACATCGGTAAAATAGTCCATGTGACATCAGCGGTTCCACCGTAATTTTACAAAGCTACGAGATTACTTTTTGTGCACAAAGAAAACAACTACTTTTCCTCCTTATCCCGTTTGCAGTGACGCGCCGCCATTGTAGAGAGACCTTGCTATGACCGATGGCCAGTGTTGGGCAAGTTACTCTGAAAATGTAATCAAATGACTGATTACTCCTTTTAAAAGTAATCATGTTACTGTTCTGATTACTTTATTTCAAAAGTAATTAGTTACATTAGTAGTTACGTTACTTTTTTCTCCATAAAATGTAGGAAATCCCAGCATACACGCTCCCGATAAATATTTGTTATTAAAGCATCAACATTCACAGAACACTGTTATTTTTAACTAAAGCAAGCGGCTGCTGCGTGCATGGTTTGGCATGGCAGAATGCCAGCAAAGTGCGCTGCATTTATAATCTCTAAAAGACAAGAAAAGAGTACTGAAAAAATATACTCAAGTAAAAGTACCATTACCGTCCAAAAAATGTAGTGTGAGTAGAGTAAAAGTACTTGTCCAAACAACTACTTGAGTAAGAGTAAAAGAGTAGCCTATTTAAAAGTACTCACGCAGTTGAAGAAAAGATGAACAAACAGGAAGTCAATGGAAGCGCATGCGCGTATGATATTCTGGAAAAAGAATATCATACGCAGATCAGCTGGAAAAAAATCGTTCTGAAAGTGATTCCAACGATATCGTTTCTCTGTGCCTTTGTCGTTATAGCTGGTGTGGACTCTGCTATTCTTTAATATTGAGAACGATTTTCAGAACTATATCATTATTGAGAACAATTTTCAGAACTATATCTTTATAGTTATCGTGCTTGGTGTGAACAGGCCTTTACTCATGAACTTGTATCTGACATTCCGATTTTCAGACATGTTTAAGTGTATGCATTTTGTCTTTTAAATATATATAGTATATTTATATAATTAAAGTTTGTTGTAAATATAGCCTCTACTCGATTGTGGTACCCACCTTTGCTAAATATGTTTCTGATCTGCACAGCTCGATTTACTTCACCTGAATCTCACACATCTCATTGGAGAACCATTTGAGCAGGCAATTCATTCTCCTCAATTTATAATCTGAGGGAAAAGTTGTTCACTATTAAACCAGCGGTTCTTATGGTGCGTTCAAGTCATTACGACTTGTCAACTCGTAAGTACGAACGTCCCAGGAGGACTTGAACGCAGCATTAATCCTGGTCCTCGCTCTGCATATGTTGCATGTCTCTCTTGTTTAACACACCTGATTTAGATAACCAGCTCGTTAGAAAAGAGCTCCATGAATGAACTGTGTTCCGAATGACATGTTCCCTACATAGTGTTCACTGCTCTCTACTTCCTGCACACGGGAAATTGACTGAAGTTTACTTCACTTAAAAACACAGATTTGTGCGACACCACTGTCTGTAGTGTCTTTACAAACAGACAATGAGTAATATCACAGGATCAGAGTCCCGGCAGGAATCAAGGTCCAGACAGGTGACCAGCTCGGGATTAGGCTGATAGCCGCTTCACACTAAGAACAGTCCTCCAGAACAGGCAGAGACAAGACTCCAGGCAAACAGTCTCTCCACTCGGGTTAGAGTAGCTCACACACAGGAACAAGTTGAGCTCAAAATCCATAAGCCGCTGGCCAGAGATCACAGAGATAGCATCAGAAAAAGTAGGTGGGCAAACAGAAAAAAAAAACTAACAACTAACTGGGACAAAAAAAAACGTAAAGTCAAAACGACAAAACACACTGGCAATGAAAAAGCAGAAACGAGAAGTACAAATAGGAACAAACAAAATGAATGAAAAAACGAAAACAAAAAAACACGTGCAGGAAAAGTAACAGATCAAACCTGCGACCTGACAAGAAATTGTGCAATTATGCATGGAATCCAAGCACCCCACCCTAAAAGCAGCACTTTCTTACATGAAGAACCACTTTTTTCATTTGCTGAAATTTTTGATTCAAATATTGAAGATTTGAAGCATGAGCTGTATCAGACCAAAAGAGTTTTGGAAAGGAAAGGAAACAAACCAAATGACTTCTCTCATTGAATTTGTGGTATTTCCTTTAAGAGGGTGTTTCGTGAGCTTTTCAGACTGTGCAAGATTGTAACACCTGTAAGTAGTGCTGCATGTGAACGTAGTTTTTCGGCAAGCTGATCAAAAACCATCTCAGAACAACAATGGGCGATGAGAAACTGAGCCATCTAGGAGTTTTGAGCATTGAATCAAGACGGGCCCAATCATTCAATATGGACGAGTTTATAAGACATTTTAGCAGCAACCATAAAAATCACAGAATTTTACTTTTTTTTTTTTTAAATGAACCAGGTACTACAGAACATATACCTTATGTTATATTGACATATACCTTCGAGTTGCACTCTATTCATAGATTGGATTCTTTTATTATAGTTATTATAGTCAATTTAATACAAATTGTATTTGACTGATCTGATTTAAAGAAGGGAATAAATGCCATTAAATGATAATAAGGTATCTCTGTTTATTGCTGAGTTGAAAGCTTACTGAATTTTAAATGATTCAGATATCTACAATACACAACATAAGATTGGCCCCTCTTGTGCCCCCCAGTTGAAATAATCCTAGAATCGCCCCTGCTGGTAGGGAGTTTGGTGTATTGGAGTGTGCTCAGACTTGAACATATTACGGATAGAAAACAATGTTTCTATTTCATTTTGTTTTATTTTATTTTATTATGTTTTTGTTTATTATTATTAGTTTTTTTTTTTTGTGCTATGGTTCTGTTGAAAAAATTTATCAGTATTAATTGGCTTGTTAACTGTTCGCAACCCCTTGAATAAATGGTTTCTGCACTCAAACATGACTGTTTTGCCTTTTAGACAAAATATTACTCTTTTTTTTCCATCTTTGTTTCCTGTATGTAAATATCGATGCACTATACCCAGGGTTGCCAGGTTTTCACAAGAAAACCCGCCCAATCGCTACTCAAAACTAGCCCAAAACGAGCCCAATGGCGATTCGAGGGGTAAAATACACGTTTTTTGGCGGGGTTCCCAAATCACCGCAAGCTGACGTCGCATGCTGATCAAAACAGTGTAAATGCAACGAGAACTTTTACAAGCTAGTCACAAATGTTTTAGTGTCTAATCGATTAAATGTGATATACAAATCATTAAATGCCGAATACTAACGGATTTTCAATATAAACTGTGTTATTTAATTAATTTGCAGTGCTAGTTTTGAGTGTTGTTGTCGTTTATAATCAGGCCATGAACTCTTACTGACTCGAGTTGTGATAAAATGAATTGTTTTGCAAAATGATTCGAACCGCTGGAATCACCGCAAGCTGACGTCACATGCTGATCAAAACAGTGTAAATGCAACGAGAACTTTTACAAGCTAGTCACAAATGTTTTATGATGTTTTCTCACCCATGTATTTTTTTTTTTTTTACAAAATAATTATTTGTGATCAAACATTAATTGGCAGACCCCCAGTTGAAGACTCTTGTCTTAAAGAAAGTTAATTGTTAGCAATATGGTGAAGCACAATGGTTCTCAACTCTGGCCCTTGAGGTCCCCTTTCTTGGAGAGTTTAGCTCCAGCTTTGATAAAACTCACCTGCCTTTAGGTTTCTAGTAATAAAGAAGACCTTGATTAGCATGCCCAGATGTGTTTGATTTTGGGTCTGAGCTAAACTCTGTAGAAAAGGGGGGATGGAGATTTACTACTGATCACAGAACCGTGCTTCACTGAAAGATACGCATGACAATCGCAGCTTCTGTCGAATCCCGATCGCGATTCCATTTCGATTTATTGTGCAGCCCTAGTTTTTAAGGGCCAGAGATGAGAACTTCAGAAACTTCCGGCTGGTGTATTGGGGCAAGTTGGAGCTAAACTCTGTAAGACACCGGCCCTCCAGAGCAGGTTTGCACACCCCTGGTATAGGGTCTAGTATACATGTTGGTTTTCATGCATTATATCTAAATGTTTTGACGTCTTATCTTGTGCCATTAAACTGAGGTTTTTTTCCATTTGTTTTTTCGCATTAGACCTAATGGCACTTAAAGAGGAGAAAGAAGTACTCAATGAAACTGAAAAAGAAGATCAATATGAGAATCTTCAAAAGACCGGAACTAGAAGTTTCGCTCAGCAGGGAACCCCTAAAGATCAAACTGGGGAGAGTTTCTCTCATAAAGTAAGTCTTGAGAGGCACATAAAGATTCACACGGGAGAAAAGCCTTTCATATGCCTTCAGTGTGGAAAATGTTTCACTCTAAAAGAAAACTTCAAAAGGCATGTGAGGTCTCACACTGAAGAGAAGCCTTACGCATGCCAACAGTGTGGTGTGAGTTTTGCTCAACATGGACACCTTGAAATCCACATGAAATTTCATACTGGGGAGAGCCCTTTTACTTGCCAACATTGTGGAAAATGTTTCGCTTGTAAATCCATTCTTGAGAGTCACTTAAGAATTCACACTGGAGAAAAGCGTTTTGCATGCCCTCAGTGTGGAAAATGTTTCAATCAACGAGGAAACCTTAAAGCCCACATTAGAATACACACTAGAACGAGTACCTTCATCTGCCAACAGTGTGGAAAGAGTTTCACTCATATAGGAAGTCTTAACGGGCACGTGAGAACTCACACTGGAGAAAAACCTTTCACATGCCAACAGTGTGGAGACAGTTTTGCTCACAATGGAAACCTTAAACTCCACATGAGAATCCACACTGGAGAAAAGCCTTGCCGTGTGTAATAAGTTAAACTCAAATCCTTAACAGGCACATGGGAATTCACACTGGAGAGAGCTCAGTTACCTGCGTACAGTGTAGAATTGTTTCAACATTTGAAATGTTTCAGCACTTCTACATTTAAAACTCCAGCATACAGAATGTTAGAATGTTATTGAGCTGAACTGACTTAAACTAAATAATGACAATATTGGCTTTTTTGAGTGGCTTTACAACATAATCTAAATTGTCTTCATACTGTAGAGTTTCCATGATTCATTCAGTTATTTTATTGTTTATCTCTGTGAAGCTGCTTTGATGCAATCCATATTGTGTAAAGTTTTATAGAATAAAGGTGGCTTGACATAAGAGTTCACACTGGAGTGAATTATTTCACCAACCCTCAAGATCGTGATTTACGCATTTCTTTTCATTCTTCTCTTATGGGTAAAAAGAAGTTGAAAATACCTTAGCAGTCCACCCATGCTGCTGGGAGTTGCATTTAGATGAATATGTAAATATTTTCTTCATGTTCTCTTTTCACTAACTATAAATAAATGCGTGCATCAATCGGAGTGCAAACAGTAAAAGATCTTGAGGCAGGCGCGACGCGCTCTCTATTATGGATTAAAAGAAAGGAATAAAATGTATGTTAAAGGAACACTCCACTATTTTTGAAAATAGGCTCATTTTCCAACTCCCCTAGAGTTAAACGGTTGAGTTTTACCGTTTTCGAATCCATTCAGCCGATCTCCGGGTCTGGCGGTAGCACTGACCCGATGCTAACGGTCTAATCTGATTCAATGATCTATGCTAAGCTACAGCTAAAAGTGCTACCGCCAGACCCGGAGATCGGCTGAATGGATTCGAAAACGGTAAAACTCAACCGTTTAACTCTAGGGGAGTTGGAAAATGAGCCTATTTTCAAAAATAGTGGAGTGTTCCTTTAATAAGTGTAGAATTGCATTTTCTGTTCGTTCACACAGGCACCTAGTTCACATAGTCCCACCCCTGACAATGATTGACAGCTTTCCATGTAGACATAGGAAATTTCAAATTTGAAAATTGATTCCATTTGAGTTTTGGCAGATTACTTGCGTGGCACAGAGAAAGTGAAAAAGCAAATGTGGTAATTAATATTGCTATTTAAATATGACAGGCTCATAACTCGTAAGACATGGGAAATACTGTTGCAAATCGATTTAGCTTTTTCATTTGAAATTTGGCAGTCACTGTGTGCAAAAAACGCAAATGGTAATGCAAAATTTGCAATTGCATTTGGATTATGTCACTATTTATGCGTCTACATATGGAAAACGCAATTGAAAATACAATTTGCAATTCTTTTTGAAAATTAGCTGGAATATCGTTCCATACCAAAGAATTCAGGCCGTCATAAAAGCCAGAGGAGTAACAAAGTGTTTTGGTGGATGATTCCATATTTTTTTCCTCAACGTTGAATGATATAATTTTTATGAAATTAAAATTATTACTACTTGATATGGAAAACAAATTTTCATTAATTAAAAGAGTTTAATAATATTTGTTTGAGGTATGTTTAACATAACCAGAATGTTGAATTATTAAACAAAAATTGTTTTGTGTGATATCCGTGATTCGTTTATTTGTTATGGAGTAAAAAAAATTGTGTAAACAACATCTAAGTGTGGCGATTCCATAATTTTTGCCAGGGATTGTAATTGTTAAATAACCATTTAACAAGTGATATAATAATGTATCATTACTGCTTAGCTAAAAATTGGAAAATTCAGCATTTAAAGCATGCCATACGGTAGGGCTGGGTGATAGAGTCAGAAAAATCATATGTCTGTAATTTTGGGCTGAATGGCGATATATATACGGTATGTCTCTGTATTATTATTTTTATTTTTATTCCAATTTTCTATTTAAAAAATCACATCCTGCCCATTAATGTCCTACAAACAATGTTCATATTGAAGGCTATGAAAACATAGTGAATGTAACCATGTCATCTATGCCAGAGATCTTCGACCCTGCTCTTGGAGAGCTACCATCCTGCAGACTTCAGTTCCAACCAGACTTTCAACTTCCAGCTTTCAACACACCTGTCTGTCATTATCAAGCAACCCTGAATGCTTTTATTAGCGGATTGAGCTGTATTTGTTTGGGGTTTGAGCTGAAATCTGCAGGATGTTAGCTCTCCAGGAGCAGGGTTGAAAACCCTTGGTCTATGCTATATAATATGTGCCAAAAAGGGGGTCAAAGCTGTAAGGATGGTTTCCATACAGTGGTTCAGGCTGTAGGATTGGCGAATGACTAAAAAAACGTTATCAGCACGATGGTATAAAACTGTACATTTCTTGTCTATTACCACCCACTGCCACTTATACCAACGATGAAAATAAGCACAGGTATAATAGCTAAATGTGTGGGAGAGCGTTGCTATTGTGTGACTATATTGTATTGCGATAGGTAGCACTTCAGTGTTAATGTTGAATCAAGACTAGTTAGCATATAATTTGTAATTGAAATGAACAGTATTTTGTTATGGTTATGCCTGAAATGGTTACAAAACAGAAAAGAAATGATACGTTTAAATGTACCCAGCATGTATGTGAAATGCTACTTGAGAGATAGAAAGAAAGCGAGGGAGATGGGGAGAGATATCGGAGCCCCAGAAAAGCCAGCTAAGAAAAGAAGACACAGCAATTGTTACAATCGTCTTTTATCCATTCCATCCCAAATTTGAGACATTCAAACTGACCAATCAGCAGATTATAGCGTCACCCTCTGTATTAAAGGTGTGACAATTGGTAGACCCCCCCCCAATAGCCGTGTTTTCACTGTCGGGGCAAAACTGAACGTGCTAGTGTGTGCCAGGGCCAGTCGTGTTACCACTGTCACTTCCAGGGCTTGATTGTGCCTCGTCTGGGCTTCCACAGGGCCAATGGCCGGGGATTTTCAGCATACCGAATATCTTGGGCCAAAGCGGGGCTTGAGGACTGGTCATGAACAAAGGTTAAGTTTCAATTTCAATGGCAAAACTCACTTTCAGACACCAGCGAGTGTCTTAATGAACTTACAATTGCGACCCGATGGGAATTCTGATCACCGTATGAAGCAGAAATGTATTATACGCAATGCAAAAGGCTACATATGCTAACAATCGCTATAATAAAAACGTTATGATTATGAAAATATCAGAGACCACTTTAAGTACACAGAAGACAAATCATATATGATTGTAGTCATGTATTTATTTGGTTTGATATTTGTTCCGTCTCCTCCATGTGTCTTTGTTGATACCGGACTTTTGCATCCACATATTTCATAAATTTCATATACTCCATGTAACTCATGATTCATATACTCCATGTAACCCATGATTTTCTGTCTGTGAGCTCCCTCTGTTGCTTTGGCTGAAAGGATAACAGTACAACGAGACAGCACTCAAACCTCCTCAGATTACATGCATCGTGGAAAATTAATATAAATGCTCATTCTTTCTAAAGAAATTAGACGGAAACGAGGGTTTATCATTATTTTTCTGCTGTTATATTTGTACGCATTTGGACTTAAAAGCCCCAATGGAGACGAAGTACGAATGTATACGAGTTCTCTTTTTATGTGAAATAATGATAAATATAAGTTTGATTTAGCATGCTGACAAAAAATGAATAAATTACTATTCATCGTAAATCATTGGTATATAAAATATTGATGCTGAATCTAGGTGTGCTGTGATTGGCCAGCTATCCAGTGCGTTGTGATTGGCCGAATTCCTCAAGCGTGTGACGGAAATGTTACGCCCCTTAACATACTGTGATGCCGTCTCCCAACAGGACGAGACTCAGTCCAGCTGCTCTGCTCGTGCGCATCCCATCATCGGTTCTCTTTTAGCAGTTCAGTCAATGTACTTTTAGGAGTAACTGAATAACTTGGGATATTGGTTTATTTCGTGTCAGAGGGAGTGTCAGGCAAGTTTATAAACCGAATAACTTAAGTAATTTGTGGATTAGGGCGGCGTTATGCAAGTCTTCCCACATCGTGACGTAGACATGTGGAAGCGTGTTAGAATGAACCATTTTAGGAGGGTGTGGTTGACTCTTAACTTTTATAAAGAATATCTCTTTGGATTTGAGACTTTAGTCTTTGCAACTTTACAGATCTTCTTTATGCACCAAGAGCTTGTAACACTCCAAAGAGAAAGGAAAAATTGAAATTGCATCATATGACCCCTTTAAGTCTTTATGTAAGAACCAAACGTCTGTTTCTGTTAAGTTCATTTTACGCAAGAGGCATGTTAAAAGCATGTTTTACAGTAGCGCTGGTCTGACTGTGGAAACGCGGCCTGATTTTGGGCTTGCGGCTTGAGGTGTGAGGCTATTGGCCCCACTCAGCTTGTTGTTAGCCCTGGCTCGCACTGGCCCGACAGTGGAAAAGCCTGGCCTACAGGCCTTGATCACTATCAGCACTTCTGTGCCTTCAGGAATTCCAAGTGGCCCTTTTGTTAATGGAGATTTTGAAGGTTTAGGACAGGAAAGCAGAAGTCTTTGATCATTTTTAACCCTACAAGTAAGGTCCACGCAATTGGCCCTACGAAGCTATCCAATGGTGGCTGAAGGTTTCCTGCATATTCAGTCTTTTCGGTGCGCAAAGTAAGTTAAGATCCGTAAAGTCTCAAACCCAAAGAGATATTCTTTCTAAAAGTTAAGACTCATCCACGCCTTCCTAAAATGCCTCATTTAAACACGCACTCGTTTGTTAACATGCACGCCGAAAAAAATATGCACTGCTTACGCTTACAGTGTGAAACTAGCCTAACACTATTTAATAGGCTTCACCATGCTTGCCTTTCTTTAAATAGTGGTTCTGTTTAGCCCCCTAGGTTATGATAGTACAATTTATCTAACCCCTGATAGTTATATAACTACATACAACTTATATAAAGCTGAGACAATAATCAGTTATGCTAGTACTATGAAATAGGTTAATATTTCAATCGTATTTTTATCTAGCCCCCGATAGGTAAAATAACTATGTACAACTTGAATAAATCTCAAACAATAATTAGAGGTTATGCTAGTACTATTTATCTACTGTTAGCTAGTAAAATGTTTTATGACACTTACACAGTCAATTCAAAGGTAATCAATACAAGACATCACATTCTCAAAGATAAATCTAAGACTAAAGGATGCATTCCTGACTTCAGAAAAAGTCATAGTGTATGGACACACTCCACACTACGGGCTCATCTGGCTACAGAAGCACCCTGATCTTCTTGTATCATTTCCTTAAGTACTCAGACCGAGACAAACGTCCTTCAAATGGAGACAGGGAGCATATTCCAGAAAGCGGGATTGTTGACCCCAGAAAAGGGAAACTCAGGGTTTTCGGTTCCAATAAAAGAC